AGTCAGAGCTCATGCTTCCCCCAGTGTGAGATTCCCCAGCTCCTGGTCATCTGCGTGAGCAGCACAGTGGCTCCAAATCTTTGTGTCCATAGGTCCAGTGGGAATGGACTTTGCTTCCAAGCTTCCCACACAGGGAGGCTGGGAACTTCCCCACAGCTCCTTCAAGACCAATAATTGGGCCTACACAGCAATAACACCCAGAACCCTGGACACCCTATGAGGGTAGATCTGGTCAGGACATGAACCCCTGATATCATAAATCAGTAAAGTCTCCCTTCTTTTCCCTGAAACCACCCATAAGCCAAGACTTATTGGAAAGCATTCCCAGGAATGAATTCCCAGGCCTGCAGCTGAGAATCAAGTGGGGCAGCAGAAGAAAATAGCTGCCTGCTTCTGATATCAAATGCTCTGCATACGTATCCCATATTCTGATCTATAGCCAGTTTCCCATCTGCCAGGGGACACTTGGACATTTTCCTCAGCTTTCCCAATGTGTCAGGGTCAGGGCACAGCCCTGGGGCTCAATAAATACAAGACTGAACACAAAGTAACAATGAGGTGGAGAACTCCTTTGCAGAGGCCAAGAAGCCTTCATGGAGGAGAGAAGAAGAGGTGCGGCTGGAGCCCAGGGATGGTACTGTCAGATGATGTACATAGAAACACACCCTGCTGTCCATGGTCCTCGCCCTGCATACTCCTCAGTACAATTACACATTCCAGACCTCCACATTGGTTCCTATTGCTCACACCCTCCCTCAGGTCCCAGTACACCCTCTGGGATTAGAACTCTGGTTTCTCCCTGCCCCCCACCCCATGCCCATCCAGCCCAGGAAAGGAACACGCCCTACTTAGATGTATTTTCGACTCTTTCTTCCCTTTTTCATTATCTAAGGAGGGAAAAAGGACGTGACAACAAAGCCAACACTTGTCTCATCCATGTGTCATCTTAGGAGCACCATCTCTAAGGAAGAGGTTGGGGGATAGCATGCAACTTCTGATGGGCTGCTGGTCCTTGGGTGGCCGAGGTCACAGACTTTGTTTTAATGAGCTTTTGAAACTCAGAAGAGAATGAGCCAATACCAAATCATTTCAGAGCCCCAGTGTCCACACATTCTAGTTCCCTCTATCACACATAAAACATCATCAACTGTGGGCAAATAAAAATTCAAAATTCTCATTAGTCAATTGAGCTCTCTCGATCCTGATTATTTATTTTGACTCAATATTATCAGAAGGGCCCAGGAGGTTTTGAAGAGTTAAAACCAAAGCAGTGCACTACTGACCTTAGATGTAGACAGTAAAGTCTGATTGGCCCCAGATGCTTGCAATAGGTATTATTGGCAAGAGGGAAATGGCCAGCCCAGGATATGTGAATACCCCAGGTCCCTCCAGATGTGCAACCATCCTGTCAGGGCTTAGAGAAGAAAGCCCTTCTGAAAGTCTGCTCATGGGACCAGGTGGGCCAGCCAGCTCTGGCTATAGAGCAAGGAATTGGCAGGAATTTGGCCCTATGGAAAGGGGGCTGGCAGTACAGGCTATGCAACCACAGTGGTTGGGGCTTGGGGATAGAGTTGGGTGGAAAGGTGTGGGCTGCAGGTGCTGCAAGTAGCAACATAGAGATCACTGTCTAAAGGTGGGGAGAAGCAATGGGACAAGAAATGTTCCACCTGTGTCCCCAGAACTCTATAAGCACACCAAGGAGGGGAGAGGCCAGGGCGTGCTTTCCCCAGGATAGGGCCACTGGCTAAGGTGAGGGAAGTGCAGTTGAAGCATGTCCTGCTACCTGACTCCATCCAGGCAAGTGTCAGTCTACCACTCACAGTGGGCTCGGGCTCCCCTATGATGCTATTTCCTCCAGAAGCTGACCTTGAGACAAAAATTCAGGTTCAAGTGGTTTATTTGGTGGTGATCCCAAAAAACACCAGATGGGCAATGGGGAAGTGGAACTGGAAGCAGCTTATAAGAGTAAGCATATTCACAATGTGGGCAACTGAGGCTCCATTTTGCTGGGCATCTTTCAGAAACTAGATAGAATAACCTTGTTCTTATCTCCTGGCGTGTCAGAAGGCTGGGATATTTATCCTCCAATTTTGGCCAATGGCTGAGGGCTCCTCACAGGGTCATTACTCCCCAGCACTCCAGCCTGCCCCCTCACAGGTAGAGAGGAAGCCTTCAGACAGAGAGGCCCAGGTGCTTGTCATCAGCCCTGCCAGAAAAGAACACTCAAGGAGTGTTTACCTTTCAGCCAGGTAGCCTTTGAGCCTCACCAATTTTCATAAGTCTAAGTTAGAACTTGCTCCTGTGTTATTGTTGATATTTCTCTGCTGGTCTTGACCCACATGCCAATACTACAGTTTCCACATCCAAGTTTTAGAAAGTGGCTCTTCCTAGTGATCATCTCAGCCCAGCACTACACACACACACACACACACACACACACACATGCACACGCACGCACACACTCATACATTGTAGTAGCCAGCCTAAAAGATGGCCTCTACTAATCCCCATCTCTGAGTCTTCTTCATGTTCTTGTAGAGTCCTTTCACACTGAACTGAGGCTAATCTGAGTGACCAACAACACAAGGAAGAAGTAATGATGTGTGACATCTGAAGCCTGGTCACAAAGTGTATTATGGCTTCCATTTTGGTCTCTCAGAACACTCTGTCTGGAGTAAGCTAGCCACCATACTTACCTAGCACACAGCAACCCTTGGGAGATGCCCATCATGACAGGTAACACCTGAAACCCCCTAGCCAAGCCACCCCCAGATACTTGACTCATAGACACCGTGAGAAACAAATAAATTGCTTAAGCCAATAAAGACAGGGTCATTAATAATACAATAGTCACGCATCATTAGCTAATGCGTCCTACTGTGTGCGTGCACGTACACATATGCACACGCAAATGCAGCCTACTCTCCATGCACCATAACTCTTGCATTTTTTCTTCTTCAATTCAAAACCTAAAGTAAAACACCAATTTCCAAATGACCCAACTATCTTCCCAGTTGATCTTGGGCTTAAAACAATTTCGAAGCCATTAGACTGTGTCTTCCCAGGAGTTTTGAGCAGAGAGATTTCTGTGGAAATCTTTGGATGGATCCATGGATGGACACTCTCAAGGCAAACAGAGCCTCAGGACCTTGCAGAAACTACCCACCAACTTGCAGTAATTGAGGGCTGGGTCCTCCTGTTAGTTCTTCAGAAAGCTGTCTATGAAAAGTAACTTGTGCTCAGAGTCTAGTAAAGTATGGAAACAGGTTCACACTCTCTTCCATTATCAGTAACAGATTGTCCTTGCTGGTAAATGAATTAGTCAACTAGAAGAGCTGCTCAACACTGTAAAAAGGCATGACATTCTCAGCATCAACCCCTGAAGAACACATAAAAAAGCAAAAAACCCACAGAAACAAAGTCAGTGGGTCAACTGTGTTATTTAAATGTTTTGCAAGTGTCTGCTTCTTCTTTAAAATAGAAGTGAGAGTGGCAGAATGTACTAGAAGATAATTAGATATCTTTGCATTGTTGCTTCAGCATAGTGAGTTCAAATTTCCAGGGTCTGGATGCAACAATAAAGGTGCAAAGGAACTCCTAAAAGAGACCAAAAAATAATAATAATAATTAGCTTTAAGAAAGAAAAATGTTAAAAAAAAATTAAAAATAGAGAAGCATAGCGAGTGAGAGAAGTCCCTAGGTCTCTCTGCTTGAAACAATAGCTTAATATCTGAAACTCAACAAAAACACCCAAACTACACACCAGCATGTCTGAGTGAGGCATCTGCAAATAAGAGCTACGCAGATCAGAACACCAGGAGTTGGGTGGTAAACTAAGAGAAACAAAGAAGCCGCATCTTGCAGTAGGAATATCTTGCAGGAGGAGGGGGAGGGGAGAAAGTGAGGCATGTTCCCTGAACAAACCTGCCTGAGAGAGATGCAAGCTCCACACAGCGGCAGTGTCCAGGGATCAGGGCAGAACGCAGGAAGTGAGGACGGCAGAGAAATGGGGATAGCGGAGAAGCAATAGTTGATTATTACCAGCCATGGCTGCAAAACACAAGACCGAGCCTCATATCGTCCAAGACTGTACACTGTGGAGCCCAGGGGAATCTGAGCAAACATTACCAAAACTGTCACTAACACTGACAGGGACTGAGACTGAGGGTAGCAAGTGTAACTGAATAGCTATTAAAAAAAAAAAGACATTATTAAGACTTAGACGCCACCTACTGGAAACCAACAGTCTAAAGAGAGACCTTTACATAATAAATCTCTCCAGAAAAACGACAGAATACACTTCCATTAATGTCCAGGCAGAGAAATAGTCCATTAACCACCATGAACAACCAAGGTGACAAAACAATTCAGAAAAAAAAAATCTCTAGAAAATAAGCTTAAAGACAGAAATACGTGACTTAAATGACAGAGAATTCAGAACGGTACTTCAGAAAAAATTCAGTGAGATCTAAAACAGTTCATATCAAAAATTTCAGGAATTTAAAAAACAACTAGATGAGCAGAATGAGTTCTTCAGCAAGGAGATGGAAACCCTCAAAAAGAACCAAATAGAACTTGTGGAGATGAAAAACCCATTGCAAGAGATGAAAACTGAAATAGCAAGCTAGGGAAATAGTCGACCAAATGGAGGAAAAGATCAGTGATATCGAAGACAGAAATCTAGAAATAAATAAGAAGGAAAAAGAGAGAAACCAAAGAATGAAAAACAAAAGAGAAATATGAGAACTAGCTGATATCATCAGGAGATGAACATAAGAATAATAGACCTTCTCAATTGGAGAAAAAAGAGCGGGGACTAAAAAGCATTTTCAGACAAATAGTTGACAAGAATTTTCCAAATCAAAGGAATGAGCTGGAGCTTGAAATTCAAGAATAGAACACCCAATTATCTCAACCCAAAATGCCTTCTCCAAGACACATTATATGAAAATGATCAAAAAATCAATGACGAAGAAAGAATTCCCAGGCAGCCAGGAAAAAGAAGACGGTGACCTATAAAGGAAAACCTATTAGATTATCATCAGACTTATCAGTACAAACCTTACAAGCTAGAAAGGAGCAGAATCAAATATTCTAACTACTAAATGAAGGAACTACTAGCCGAGAATAATGTATCCAGCAAAGCTCTCCTTTAGATGTGAAGGAGAAGTAAAGACCTTTCCAGACATATAAAAATTGAGGGAATTGTCCACTATGAGGCCTGCATTACAGGAAATACTGAAAGGAGTCACTCACCTAAAACAAAATGATTTTTAAAAAAATACGTAATTGAGAGTAAGGCGACTAGCAGGCAGATAGAAGCAGAGAAGTGCAACCCTTATGAAGAACAGGGTATTATAAGCTTAAACAATAAGAGATTTGCTATAGCAAGAGAGTAATGAACATTCAGCATACATAGGGACTAACTGAGACAACAATGACTGAAAAGGGGAGGATTCAAAGATCCAAATATGCAAAGGGGAATTGAGATAAGGCACAGGCAGAAGAAAATGGACAACTGTATATATACAGTAACCACATGCCAAAGATTCAGAACTGAAGTATATAACATAAAACCAAAAGGACCAGAAAGATAACCCACAAAAGCCAGCCAAAATAAACAAAGAAACAAACAAACAAAAACAGACACACAAGGACAAGGAAGCAATAGAAACACCAAGCTACCAGAAAGCAAAAGATAAAATGGCTATAAGAAGACCTCATATGTCAATTATCACCCTAAATGTAATTGGACTGAACTCACCAATAAAAAGGCACAGAGTTGCAGAATGGATCAAAAAACAAAACCCAACCATATGCTGCCTCCAGGAGAAACATCTCAGCTCCAAAGATAAATATAGACCCAAAGTGAAAGGGTGGAAAATGATATTTCGAGCAAATGACATTCAAAGAAAAGCGAGAGTAGTGATACTAATATTGAACGAAATAAACTTCAAACTAAAAATGTAAAGAAAGATACTAAGAGACACTTCATAATGATAAAGGGAATCATGCACCAAGAAGATATAACACTTATTAATATCTATGCTCCCAATCAGGGAGCTCCAAAATATGTAAAGTGATTACTAACAGGAATAAAGGAAGAAACAGACCAAAATGCTATCGTAGTAGGGGACCTAAATTCTCCACATTTGGATATGGACAGATCATTCAAATAGAAACTTAATAAGGAGAAAAATCCTTAAATGATACATTAGACCAACTGAACATAATTGACATTTTCACAGCCTTTCATCCCAGAACAGTCATTTATACATTTTTCTCTAGTGAACATGGAACTTTCTCATGGATAGACCACATACTGGGACACAAAGATAGCCTCAACTAATATAGGAGGATTGAAATCATATCAACCATATTCTCTGATCATAAAGCTTGGAAACTAGAGATCAGTTGTAAAAATAAAGTGGGAAGAATCACAAATACATTGAGATTTAAAAAACATGCTACTGAAGAATGACAGGGTCAGAGAAGAAATGAAGAGATCAAGAGATACATAGAAATGAATGATAATTATAGCACAACATATCGAAACTTTTGAGACATGGAAAAAGTGGTCATAAGAGGAAATTCATATTACTACAGGCCTATCTCCAAAAACAAGAATGAGCCCAAATAAACAACCTAACCCTACATCTTAAAAACTATAAAAGGAAGAACAAATGAAGTCTAAAGTCAGCAGAAGGAAGGAAATGATCAAAATTAGAGTAGAATAAATGATAGTGAAAAAAATAAAAAATAAATGCAACAAAGAGCTGGTTCTTTGAGAAGGTTAATAAAATTGGCAAATCCCTGGCTGGATTCACTAAAGAAAAAAGAGAAAGGACACAAATAAACAAAATCAGGGATGAAAGAGGGGAAATTAAGACTGACATCGCAGAAATACAAAGGATCATACAAGAATACTATGAAAAAGTATTTAACACCAAATTTAGCAACCTAGGAAAAATGGATAAGTACTTGGAAAGATACAACCTTCCTAGACTGAATCAAGATCTGGAAAATCTAAATAGGCCAATCAGCAGTATGGAAATTGAAACAATCATCAAAAATCTACCAAAAAGTAAAAGCCCAGGACCAGATGGCTTCACCAGTGAATTCTACCAAACATTCAAAGAATATTTAATACCTATTCTCCTCAAATTCTTCCAAAAAGTGGAAGAGGAGGTAATACTTCCCAACTCATTTTATGAGGCCAATATTACTCTGATATCAAAACCTGGTAAAGATAATACAAAAAAAAGAAAACTACAGACCAATCTCTCTCATGGAAAATGCAAAAATCCTAAATACTAGCGAACTGAATACAGCAACATATTAAAAAGATTATACACCATGATCCAGTGGGCTTCATCCCAGGGGCACAGGGATGGTTCAACATACGCAAATCAATTAACGTGATACAGCACATAAACAAATTAAAAAATAAGAATTATGTGATCATATCAATAGATGCAGAAAAAGCCTTCGACAAGATACAGCATACATTTATGATCAAAACACTTCACAATAGAAGTGTCCTACAACAGACTATTGGATGAAGAAGTTGTGGTACATATATGCAATGAAATATTACTCAGCCATAAGAAGAGAAGAAATACTGCCATTTGCAACAACGTGGATGGAACTTGAGATAATTATGCTAAGCAAATTAAGCCAGCCAGAAAAAGTTGAAACCCACATGATATCACTTATATGTGGGATATAATCCTAAAAGCAACAAACAAACAGGACAAACAAACAGAGACTCATGGTCATGGAAAATAAACTAGTGGTTACCAGATGGTGGGGGAGGAGAGAGGAGAGGAAGGAGGGAGGTATATGGGGTAAAAGGAGTCATATATGTGGTGACAGAAGGAAATGTAACTATGGGCAGTGAACACACAATGCAATATATATATATATGCCTTACTGTTGAATCGTATACTTGACACTTACTGGATTTCATTTTCCAGTGTCACCATAATTTTAAAAAAAAATTAAATTAAATTAAATTTTTTTAAATTAAATTAAAAAATAAACATGTTTCCATTTTCTGGTGTGAGCATTTGGCTTCAGGGGGCTAAGAAGTGTTCTGAGCCAGCCATGCCCACAGAGGCCCTAGAGCTGTTGACCTGGAATCTGATGGCAGATGAACCAGCCTCACTGACCAGGATAGACTCCTGCCAGTTTACTTCCCTGTGATCTGAAGTCATCATGGACTTGGCTGTGTTAGCTCTAGGAGAGCAAGGGCCGGAGCTCAAAAACTGGCTAGTCTCAGAAATCCTCACCTCCTGATTTGGTCCTCATCCAGCCACCCCCAACTTCCTTGCAGTTTATGGAGACCCCATGCTGTATGGAAAGTCCAGTGGGTCCTTCCCAGGGGAGGCAGCACAAGAAGAATAGCACAAGGTCCTGCATGTCATAAGGAGAGGGGCCAAAGTATGGACAGAGACCACCAAGAAAGCCTGCAGTCAAGGAACTGAAAGGAGTCATGGCACTCGTCCCAAGGCCTGCAGAATGAGCAGGACTTCGGGCTCATGGTATGGGGGTGAATTCTCTTGTGTCCCTCCTCTCTCTCCTAAAAATGTTATTCAATTAGAATAAAAGATAAAGCAAGTATATCTCCATTATATCAATGGAAACATGAATGACAGCATCAAGTAGAATTGAAGTTGTATAAAATGCAAAGACTAAGGGATCAATTTGAGGGAGAAAAGAGGACCAAGCTACCAGCAAATCAGACAGGCCACTGAAGGACTGAGGCCAGGCTGGAGGTGCATCCAGCCCAGACGGTCATTCAGGATGGACTGAGTTGGTTTGTGGCAGTGGTGGGGAGGGAAGAGATTGGGCTTATCAGAGAGTTAACTAACTGCTTAACTTCCGGATCAGTCAAGGTAAACAATCGTGCAACAGAGGAATTGAAAACTTCATTATCAAGATCAATCCTAGAGGACATTTTAGCAATGTATATTAAAAACTTTTAAAAGGTGAAAAAATATTGAATAAGTAATTCAACTTGTGGGGATTTTGCCTATAAGGAAACAATAATCAGATATATATACAAATAGAAATAAAGAAGAATATTCATTAAAACACTGTTCATAATAGCTAAAAATTAGAAAAACTTAATTTTCAGAAATTAACTAAATAATATGTGGAAACATTAAGTAAAAACAAATAGTTTCATTATATGATGCTTTCAAGTAATTTTAGAGTTTTAGAAATCCTTAGAGTTTATTATTAAATGAAAATCTAGATTATAAAACGGTATACAGTATGGTTTTCAACTACGCAAAAATGCAAACATAATATAAAATATAGAAAAAATAGAATGCATAACAATATATTGACAGTGGTAAACTTTACATAACAGTATTTATAGTTGGTTTTAAACAACAATACTTTTGAAAATTCCAAATTTTCTGCATTAAATAAATCAGGCCAATAACTATTTAAAATAACACAAAGTTTTAAAATTTATTTTTTAAGGTGCCTAGATGTTTACTTTTTTCTCCTCTGTAAACCTCAATACGTAATTAAAGGAAACAGGTAAGCTAAAATCTTTAGGAGCTCTATGAAACAGGAAAGGATCCCATGCAAAAGCAAAGACAAGGAGGAATCTTGCATGATCAGTGGATGCAAGCAAGGTGATGGAAGTCTGTTGATTGACACGTACTTAATATATGGAATGAGAGCACAAGAGGAAACCAAGAAAGTGAACTACCTCCAAACCCCATAAAATTTAAAGTCGTTCTTGACTTTCCTCCTCTCATACTCCATGTTCAATACTTCAGCAAATTCTGACCAAGCCTTTCACAGACATCCAGAACAGAGAGCCTCCACCATCTTAATCAACATCATCTCTCATCTGGTCTATTGGAATAGACTCCTAATAGACTCTTACTGATCTCACTGTTTCTACTCCTGCCCTTAGGCCGGACTCACTCCATTTGTTCTTCCAGGTCTACACTCCTCTTGTCTTTACTCAACATGTCTTAAAAAACTGACAACCTCTATGGGCTGCGCCAATGGGTGTCCTTGCCCCCTGACCTCTATGGTCTGTGCAGTGGGCATTCTTTGGTTTCCAGTTGGGTTTGGCCAAGGGGATAGAGGCAGGAAAGTGAGAGGCATGAGGAGAATGAGTTGAGGGTTTACAGTGTGTTGGCTGTATTTCTCCACCTGAGGCCATGGCTCCTAACAGAAGACTCCTGATTACTCTAGAGAAAAGGATATTAAAATTCCAGTCCTAAAAGTGAAAATCTGGATGTTCACTAGGAATATTAAAACATCTCAATCTTACTAGAAATCAAGGAGATATACAAAGTTAAATGATGAAATAATATTTCACATACATCAGACTGGAAAAAATTTAAGACTCATAACACCAAGTGTTGGCAAAGCTGAGGAGAAATGAACAATAGCACACACCACTGATGGAAAATATGCTGATCAACCACTTTGGAGAGTAAAATTGAAGTTATGCATCATGTGTGGCCCACCACACTAAAGTTGAAGTTTCGTGTACTCCACAATATGGAAGTCCCACTCCCAAAAACATCCTTGGGGAGAGTCAACATGCACCATGACTTTCACTGTAGCATTGTTAAGATTTTAAAACAACCAAAAGTTTCCAAAATAAGGAAATGGTTAAATATAATGTAATATAGTCATATAAGAGCTCAATATACGGTAATAAAAACTATTTTTAGCCTATTTCTATATATATCAACTGGCCCAAAAAGTCCTTTGGCATAAATAAATAAATAATAGCAGAATACCAATATGAATAAATCTCAAAACATATTGTTGAGTGAAAATTAAAAACAAAACAAGAGAAATTTTCAAAATTTATGCACATTTTGAAAACCACACAAAACTCTATAGATATAGATAAAATCTTTTTTAAATGGATAGGAACTCTACTTACCAATTTTAGGAGGATGGTTATACACTTTTCTTAGTACCTACCAGAATTTTTGAAATGTTATTAACTTGAAAACAATTTCTAATGATTTATGACCAGTGTCCATTCTCTAGATGTAGCCATTCACTTGCATTTTAGTGTCCTACTGTGGTGCCTACTATTCATTAGAATATGAAGTATTTTTTATTTGAACATGTCTGGGTAATTTTCGGCAATCTCTAATCTGACATTATCAATGCTTAGCCATGTCTTGTGCCAGCCTTAGGTATATATTAAATAGGTGAAAAATAGACAGGCGCAGATAGATGAGAGAAAGAGAGAGAGAGAGAGAGAGAGAGAGAGAGAGAGAGAGAGAGAGAGAGAGAGAGAGAAAATCTGCAACATCATTTATGAAAGAGAAAAATTGGAAAGAACTTCTATGAAAAGATCACCAGGACAAATTTAAAAAGGTGAAAAGGGAAGTTACATCAAAATACACATAATATATCAGCAGTTGTTAAAACAGGAAGAAGAAAGACTGTATCCATTTATACAAATTTGTAGTAAGATTATCTTGAAGATATCTACACAGTTGATCCCAGTAGTTACTCCTAGGAAAGGGACAGCAGAATTGGGGGATCCTCAAGGGTGCCCAGAGGTGCATGCCATTACCTCTATCACATATTTTTATGAGAATATATTTTTAGAAAATATTTATGTTTACTTAAAAAAATTAAATTTAAATCCAAAATGTCTCTGTTAAGCCAATATGATAAGGGTAAGGAAATTTCTTACTGAGGCTGAGAGACGAACTGACCCATTTGTGACAGTGCCCATCTGGACATGTGTCCTGGTAACACCCAGCCCAAGCTGGGATTGCTCCTCATTTGTGGCATGAAGAAATAGAAGACTGAACATATAAGATTATAGTGGGCATGAGAAGTCACTGGGGTAGGAGTCTTGAGACTGTCCCCAAACTTTCAGGTCTTCCATACAGCAGCTGGACTACAGGAATCAGCCAAGGAAAGTTCCTTCTGACATTACCAGCTGCAAAACAATCACAAGCCTGAAGAGTTAGTCACACTATGCTCTCTACTGGGTAAGTACTCTCCAGTAGGTGGTACCTGGGGCAGATGGTCCACCAAGATATTAACCATCAATTCCTCTCCTGCAAGTATATTCATGATATCTTGCCCATTGAGAGAGGAGTCTATGCTCTCCTCTTGAATTTGGGCTGATCTTGTGACCTGCTTTGACCAAAAGAATGTGGTAAGAGGGACATTCTGGGAACTTCCAAGTTAAGGCTTGAGGAGAACTGTTAGCATCTTCTGCTTCCTCCTCCTAGAAATGTAACTTTCTTGGTACCACCATGTTGTGAGGAAGACCAAGTGTAGGATGATCAATTTGTCTCAATTTTTTCAGGATTTCATTTAGTTTAGCACTGACAGTCCCACATCCTAGGAAATTTTTTTGTCCTGAATAAATCAGAGTAACTGGTCACCGTGCCAGTTTGCCCTGAGCAGAGTGAGACAGATGGTAGCCAGCCTCCTAATGTTTCAGCTGTCCCAGCTGAGGCACCAGACATGAAAGCAGAGCAATCATCTGGAACATTCCTGCCCCAGCACACACCACAAGGGACAGATTGAAGAATACTTAGAAATAATGACTCGGTGTTGCTTTAAGCTGCTAAGTGTGTGTGGTGGGGCAGCAGGGGAGGTCACAAATTGATTATAAAAACAGTGATCTATGTCTAGAACCTGGCCATACTCAGTCCCGAATATAATCAGAATGTGGTTTAAAAAGGGAACTCAAAATTCAAAGCAGAGTCGATTCTATCAGTTTACTCTGCTTAGAACACAAACTTAACCATGGCCATCACTTCTCCCTGTCTCAGCCACATACCTTTTGCATTTTCGGATTCTTTTGTAATAAGCAGTTTTCATTCTCTCCTGAAATTTTCTTGCACATTGTTCGGGCAATTTTGACTTCAAGAAAGTAGTCCAAACTATCTGTGACCTGTCAATGAGTAATATAAAAATTAAATATCATAAAAGCATTCATAGTCAACTCTGATAAATAAATGTCATTGACTGCTTAGGGTTAATGACCTTCTCTCTTAAAGTTTCCTTGCCAGAAGTTTTGGAGTAATTGGAGAAGTGGTTCTTACTTCGATATCTCTCTCTGTCTCTGTTTCTCTGTCTGTTTCTCATGGCATTTAATTTTAAAGTAATGACAACTGTCCCCAAGATAAAGCAAGAAAACTATTATCCATAGAAATTTTTCTGGGAAAGCTAATGGTTTGCTTATTGGAGCTTGGAAAGTAAATAGCAGAGGTTATAGCACCTTCATATTTAGTCAATAGATATTAAGTGAAGAAAAGACATCCCTGAACTGAAATCTGCTTAGAGTATATTGCTTCTCTCTAAAGATTTCCATGCTTTGGTAATTTTACCAATACAGACCTTATTTCATGTGCTACACTCTCCAAAATCCCTGACTTCCAGGGTATCCTCCTCACCTGTGCAGAGCCCACTATCACCTTTCTATTCAGGACTGCCTTGTGGGGACACGGAGCCTCACAATGGCAAATGTAGACTTTTATTATTAAAAAATTAAGAAGAAAACAAATTTTACAAGACTTAGGGGAGAGAATATATGAAAGAGAATGGCTAAGTTAAACACAATAACTGCCCCCTGGGGAAAAAAAAAGAGATGATTCAGAAAATATAGTAAACATTTTTAGAAATTCTAGGTAAGTTGCCTGGGCATTGAACAAAATGAGTGTGGTAGGCAGAATTCTAAATGTGATTTCATGACTACCTTGAAGTTTCTCAGCTATGCCTGTTAGTGTATAGAAAATGTCTGGAAGGACAGAGCAAACCTGCTTATGGTGGTGCTCTCAGGAATGATGAATCAGGTTGGAAATGCAATAAATAATGTTCACTTTCATTTTAACTAGACAACTTCCAAACATATATACTCCGAGAACTTTTTTAAAACTGGATGTCAAGTTTCTCAACCTCAGCATCATTGACATTCGGGACTGGATCACTCTCTGTGGGGGGCTTCCTGTGCACTGTAATGTGTTTAGCAGTATCCCTGGCCTCCACTCACAAGATGTAAGTAGCTGGCCCTCAAGTTGTGATGACCAGGTATTGCTAAAACTCCCCTGCCAAGCAAAATCCACAAGCTGAAAACTACTGCTTTATATTTGAGGAGTATGTCCTTAAATTCCACATACAAGTGAAATCATATAGTGTTTATCTTTCTCTGTCTGACTTAAATATCTTCTAAGTCCATCAAAACAATATCTTTTTTCATCCCCTTCCTTTTCATATGTAGGGGTCTTGTTTTCTTATCCTTTCAGCCACTCTATCTTTTGGTTGGAGCATTAATTCTTTTCCATTTGAGGTACTTGTTGATAGGGATGTAGTTGTTACCATTCTTTATTCCTGTTTTTGATATATGGGTTTTCTTCTTAAAGAAGTCCCATCAACATTTCCTGTAATTCTGGCTTGCTCGTGATAAATTTCTTTAGCTTATTTTTGTCTGGGAAGCTCTTTTTCTGTCCTTCTACTCTAAATGATAGTCTTGCTGGATAAATTATTCTTGGTTATAGATCCTGTGTCTTTATCCTGTCGAATATTTTTTGTCAAGCCCTTCTGCCTGCATAGTATTTTTTGAGAAATCAGCTGCCAGACTTATGGGTGTTCCCTTATAAGTAACTATCTGTTTTTCTCTTGCTGCTTTTAATATTCTTTCTTTGTATTTAACCTTTGACATTTTAATTACGATGTGTCTTGGTGTGAGCCTCTTTGGATCCCTGATTTTTGGAATTCTCTGAGCTTCCTGGGATTTCCTTCCCCGGATTAGAGAAGTTTTCCATTATTATTTCTTCAAACATCTGTTCAACATCTTGATTTTCTTCAGTTACACCAATCAGATGGATATGTGGATCCTTAATAGTGTCCCATATTCTCCTTAAATTATTTTTATAGTCTTAGCATCTTATCTCTTGCTGTTCTGATTGTGTCCTTGGCTTTCCCGTCCTCTAGATAAGGCTTTTGATCCTCTTCTTTACTTATTTCGTTTATTCCTTTGTTTATTCCATTTAATATACTTCTCATCTCAAATAATGTGTTCTTCATTTCAGACTGGTTCCCTTTTATAATTTCCATTTCCATTTTTATGTTTTTTATCTCTCTGTTGAAGTTCTCTACACTTCCCAAAAATTAATTGAGCATCTTTATTACCAGTGTTTTGAACTCTGCATCTGTTAGATTACTTGACTGCATTATATCTGGATCTCTGTTCTGTCCTCTCATATGGCTTTTGCTTCTTTGTCTTCCCATTTTGGCTGTCTTTCTGTGTCTCTTTCTATGTACTAAACAAAGCTCCTGTCTCCCGGTCTTATTAGTCCAGGTTTGGGAAGTAGGCGTCCAGTGGCACAGTCCTGAGAGGGGTTCAGCTTCAGGCCAAATTTAGCCCTAGTCTCTATCCCTCCAATGTCACCTGTTAAGATTCAGCAAGCAATCCACAGATGTTGTGCTTATAGTTGTCTCAAAAGTCCACACTAGAAACTGAGGCCAGCTGCCTCCAGTGTGAGTCTAGGCGCTGCTCAGCAAGGAGCACCTGATTCATTGAGGATGTGGCTTGGGTGGGGCCCTGAATTGGGGTAGGGGTGCTTTCAGAGAATCTTCTGGGAAGAGTGACCTCTGTTATCCTGTTTGATGATATCATAGCTATGGTGGTGCTGTGTCCAGCGCACTGGTAGGAGGAAGGGCTCTACGGTGAACAATGGTTACTGCTGGCACTTCTGTACCAAGCGAGTCTCCCCTAAGCCCTCACTCCAACAATCTGTAAGTCCCAGGTGCCCCCTGCGTGCAGCCAGATTGGCACTAGTGCTCAGAGTGAGCAGGTCCGTCATCGTGAAAATACGCTTGCAGACACGGTCCTTTTAAGAGGCTTCTGCCACTTCCAATGCTGCAGCCTCCATCTATCTCACTCAGCTGCTCAAGACCAGGCAGCTCCACATCCTCATCCCATCTTACCTTCTGCTGTTGCAGAGTGATTTCTTGGATTTCTTGGATTTCTCCCTAGTTGTATGGCTTATTCATCCCAGCTGATTTTTCCTTGCTGCTGCTCCTTGCTTCTGTCACAATTTTGATTTGGTCGCCAGAGGGATGAACAGAGCCTCTAACATTTATGCCACCTTTTTTCTCCTGCCATGACATTGATATTTTTAAGTGGACTTAATGGAATGCTCCATGATAGGGATTTGTCAAATTTTCCTCATGACTACATTCAGGGTATGCCTTTTGAGCAAGAATAACATAAACAGGTTATGTTGTGTCCTTTCAGTGACATCACGTCAGGGGCTCATGATGTCAATCTGTCCAAGTGTTGGTGCATTTGGTGAGCAAGGCATTCACCAGAGAGTGTATCTTTCCCCATTATAACTAATTAAGTAATCTATGCAGAAATTTGTTCCCAGAACTCTCTCAACCAATGATTATAGAATTCATTAATGATCTTTGCCTGAATTAATTATTACCATGGTGTTTGCAAAAGGTGATTTTCTAGTTACATAGTCTTTTATATCTATGGTAGGCATTTTTCTATAAAGAAGAGCCTTTCCTTCTCTGCCTCGGTGCCCTTTTCCAGTAAAAGCTAAACTTGTAGTTTTTGTTTCTGTTTTTTGTTGTCAACTGTGTAATAATTCCTCCCTGTCGTTACTCATTTTGATGCTATTAGTCCAAATTTTCCCAAACTTGGCCTCTTCAAGAGCCCTTCTGGGCTTTTTCCTATGCTTTGTGATGTAACTATATCAATTTTAAATAATTTTAATGGGTGTTTTATATTTCATTTGAGAATAAAGAATAAAGTACAATTAATTTTTCTCAAAAAAATAAACTAAAATAAAACTAATATGTTTGGGCTAAAAGCATGTCTGAGTTACTTTCCAATCCCTGGTCTCAGTAGCCATTTATGGATAACAGCCCCATCATAACCACAGACATGTAGAGAAACAACAAGGAGCAAATGCTCACTGACCTGCTCCTGGGACTTTAGAACTTTCACCACCTTGAAGATGTACTTGTCTTTGCTGATCTTGTTATACTCTTTCATGGCGAACCACAGTGCCTGTTGCACATAAACATAGGTTTCCGGGATGTCTTGGAATTTTCTCACCACCTTTGGTGAGCCCCAGGCATGGACACCTTTGGACACGAGGACAACAGCAGCCACTAGGAGCAGCAGGCTTGGGCAGAATCTGGCCATGGCACCTCAGCCAAGGGAGCACAGACTGAATTCCTCCCCTGCTTCCTGGGCTGTGGTTGGGGTGGACTAGGCTGGTCCTAATGCCTCTGCTCCCCAGCTCCTCCTGGCACTGCTATGGGTGAAAAGGAGAGAACTGTTACCTTTGTTGTGGGTTTCTCTTTCTCCTTCCCCAAAGAGAAGCCACGTGAGAAATCTGCAGTCACAATTTAGCCTATTTTGGCATCTTAGCTGTTTCCTTTCTGGAAGGATGCATATCTCCATGTACTCATACATGCGAGTGCACGTGCACATGTGCGTGCTTGCGCGCGCGCGCGCGCACAGACACACACACACACACACACACACAACACACACACACACAACCTTTTCTTTCCTGCAAGATGACCTTTGTTGCCCTGTCTACAAGATCCCTGTGTATCCAGTGAAGGTGCCTATCTGTATCAGGTCTGTGCGCACAAACGGGCACAAGGACCTGCACCAGACACGCTGCCACAGGGAGAATGTGGGTCTCAAAACTCCTCTTATTTGTTTCCTTTCCAGAGACATATATAAAAGTCTTCATACAGGCCTCAAAACTGCTCCCTGCATCTCCCCTCTTTCTAGTCAGGCTCATTAGTAATCACACTGGGACGTATTTATTATTAGTGAGTCTTGCCAGGCCCTGTAATAAGAACAGCACATGTTTTATTTCATTTAATCATTGCCATTCCCGTGGGACCTTTTATACTAAAGAAAATGTAACTCAAAAAGAAGTCAAGCCTTGACTTGGCCTCTTGACTGAGTGGGAGCTTTACCTTGCTGCCTGCCCTGACTCAATCCTGACTCAAACCTGACACACATGTGTGTGCAGATCACAGTTTCTAATGTGCATTTGCTTTTGAGGAGATTCTACTATAGAAGATGAATCAGGATGTAGTTCATAAGACAGGCAAAACAGCTAAGATTTGTTAAGTGTAGACGATGACTAAGACTGACAGACAGGCAGAATCCAGTTGTGTACATTACAGAGCAGTGGTAAGTACTGCACGCCTAAGTTGAACACAGAAGGTGATCCTGATATCCAACAGACACTAAATGCACAAGAAATTCGCACATTTGGCCGCCCACTGGTGATGCCATTCTGGCCCCATGTGTTCTCTCCCAGAAAATTTAAACCAAATCTCAGGCTGTGCAGGAGGTCACCCAGCGTGGCCAGCTATGCCAGGCAGACTTGACCTTTTGGATCACATTGCTCAAACCTCCACCGTGGCTCTCGTAACCCCCATCAGTAGGAGACTGATACAGCAGAGAACATGGTTAGCCCATGGTCCACCTCTGCCCCACTTGCCCTGTGTATTAAGCATGTTAACCTGCTCCTTCTCACTGCCTTGCTTCTTGCTCAGTAGTTTACATTGATACACACGTGATTCGAGCAGCAAACTTCGGCCTGTGGGCCTTTCTGTTTTGTGATCTCTGGAATAAGTTACACTATTGGAAGCCACTCAGCACAACTATACTCTAGACCCACCTCAGAACCAAGCTCTTCACCGAGTTCCTCCTTGCTGAGCCTTAAGCTGGCTGTCCTGGACCACAGGTAGTATCTTTCTCCTTCCTGAGAACTTGAGCGCTGACCAGCTCTTACCTCATGGGCCACGCTCTGTCCCCAGCATGCTCACTTCATGCCCTGTGCCTGATCGACGTGTCAGTGGGGCCTGAGATCAGGGCTGCCTCTGCCCTCTCTGGCAGTACTCCTGGCCAAGTGGTCACACCTATGGCCCTTTTGTGAGGTAAGCCCAGCCTTTCTGATGACACTCAAGTGAGTGACATCTCTGACAAGAGTCTCTCAGTCCTCAGTTCACAGGCTCACCAAGAACCACCAATGTGTGCCCCTAGTGCAGAAGTCTTCACTCTCGTTCAGTGCCTCTTGACTTTCTAAATTTCTGAGTTTTGGACTA